GATAAACAGCGGGCTACGACTGCCTACAGACAAACAGATAAACAGCGGGCTACGACTGCCTACAGATAAACAGATAAACAGCGGGGCTACGACTGCCTACAGATAAACAGCGGGCTACGACTGCCTACAGATAAACAGATAAACAGCGGGGCTACGACTGCCTACAGATAAACAGCGGGCTACGACTGCCTACACAAACAGATAAACAGCGGGGCTACGACTGCCTACAGATAAACAGCGGGGCTACGACTGCCTACAGATAACAGATAAACAGCGGGGCTACGACTGCCTACAGACAAACAGATAAACAGCGGGGCTACGACTGCCTACAGATAAACAGCGGGGCTACGACTGCCTACAGATAAACAGCGGGCTACGACTGCCTACAGATAAACAGCGGGGCTACGACTGCCTACAGATAAACAGCGGGCTACGACTGCCTACAGATAAACAGCGGGCTACGACTGCCTACAGATAAACAGCGGGGCTACGACTGCCTACAGACAAACAGATAAACAGCGGGGCTACGACTGCCTACAGACAAACAGATAAACAGCGGGCTACGACTGCGTACAGATAAACAGATAAACAGCGGGGCTACGACTGCGTACAGATAAAGAGATAAACAGTGGGCTACGACTGCCTACAGATAAACAGCGGGACTATGACTGCGTACGACTGCGTACAGATAAACAGCGGGACTATGACTGCGTACAGATAAACAGCGGGACTATGACTGCGTACAGATAAACAGCGGGGCTACGACTGCGTACAGATAAACAGCGGGACTATGACTGCGTACGACTGCGTACAGATAAACAGCGGGACTATGACTGCGTACAGATAAACAGCGGGACTATGACTGCGTACAGATAAACAGCGGGGCTACGACTGCCTACAGATAAACAGCGGACTATGACTGCGTACAGATAAACAGCGGGGCTACAACTGCGTACGACTGCGTACAGATAAACAGCGGGACTACGACTGCGTACAGATAAACAGCGGGCTACAACTGCGTACAGACAAACAGATAAACAGCGGGGCTACGACTGCCTACAGATAAACAGAAACAGTGGGCTACGACTGCGTACAGATAAAGAGATAAACAGTGGGGCTAAGACTGTGTACAGATAAACAGCGGACTACGACTGCGTACGACTGCGTACAGATAAAGAGATAAACAGTGGGGCTAAGACTGTGTACAGATAAACAGCGGGACTACGACTGCGTACGACTGCGTACAGATAAACCGCGGGACTACGACTGCGTACGACTGCGTACAGATAAACAGCGGGACTATGACTGCGTACTGATAAACAGCGGGGCTACGACTGCGTACAGATAAACAGCGGGACTATGACTGCGTACAGATAAACAGCGGGGCTATGACTGCCTACAGATAAACAGCGGGACTATGACTGCCTACAGATAAACAGCGGGACTACGACTGCGTACAGATAAACAGCGGGGCTATGACTGCCTACAGATAAACAGATAAACAGCGGGGCTACGACTGCCTACAGATAAACAGCGGGGCTACGACTGCCTACAGACAAACAGATAACAGCGGGGCTACGACTGCCTACAGACAAACAAATAAACAGTGGGCTACGACTGCCTACAGACAAACAGATAACAGTGGGGCTACGACTGCCTACAGACAAACAGATAAACAGCGGGCTACGACTGCGTACAGATAAACAGCGGGGCTACGACTGCGTACAGATAAACAGCGGGCTACGACTGCCTACAGACAAACAGATAAACAGCGGGGCTACGACTGCCTACAGACAAACAGATAAACAGCGGGGCTACGACTGCCTACAGATAAACAGATAAACAGCGGGGCTACGATTGCCTACAGATAAACAGCGGGGCTACGACTGCCTACAGATAAACAGATAAACAGCGGGGCTACGACTGCCTACAGATAAACAGCGGGGCTACGACTGCCTACAGATAAACAGCGGGGCTACGACTGCCTACAGATAAACAGCGGGGCTACGACTGCCTACAGACAAACAGATAAACAGCGGGGCTACGACTGCCTACAGATAAACAGCGGGGCTACGACTGCGTACAGATAAACAGATAAACAGCGGGGCTACGACTGCGTACAGATAAACAGCGGGGCTACGACTGCCTACAGACAAACAGATAAACAGCGGGGCTACGACTGCCTACAGATAAACAGATAAACAGCGGGGCTACGATTGCCTACAGATAAACAGCGGGGCTACGACTGCCTACAGACAAACAGAAACAGTGGGGCTACGACTGCGTACAGATAAACAGATAAACAGTGGGGCTACGACTGCGTACAGACAAACAGAAACAGTGGGGCTACAACTGCGTACAGATAAACAGCGGGACTATGACTGCGTACAGATAAACAGCGGGACTATGACTGCGTACAGATAAACAGCGGGGCTACGACTGCGTACAGATAAACAGCGGGACTACGACTGCGTACAGATAAACAGCGGGGCTACGACTGCGTACAGATAAACAGCGGGGCTACGACTGCGTACAGACAAACAGAAACAGTGGGGCTACGACTGCGTACAGATAAACAGCGCGACTACGACTGTGTACGACTGCGTACAGATAAACAGCGGGACTACAACTACGTACAGATAAACAGAAACAGTGGGGCTGCGACTGCATACAGATAAACAGCGGGGCTACGACTACGTACAGATAAACAGAAACAGTGGGGCTACGACTGCGTACAGATAAAGAGATAAACAGTGGGGCTAAGACTGTGTACAGATAAACAGCGGGACTACGACTGCGTACGACTGCATACAGATAAAGAGATAAACAGTGGGGCTAAGACTGTGTACAGATAAACAGCGGGACTACGACTGCGTACAGATAAACAGCGGGACTATGACTGCGTATGACTGCGTACGACTGCGTACAGATAAACAGCGGGACTACGACTGCGTACAGATAAACAGCGGGGCTACGACTGCGTACAGATAAACAGCGGGGCTACGACTGCGTACAGATAAACAGCGGGACTATGACTGTGTACGACTGCGTACAGATAAACAGCGGGACTACGACTGCGTACAGATAAACAGTGGGGCTACGACTGCGTACAGATAAAGAGATAAACAGTGGGGCTAAGACTGTGTACAGATAAACAGCGGGACTACGACTGCGTACGACTGCGTACAGATAAAGAGATAAACAGTGGGGCTAAGACTGTGTACAGATAAACAGCGGGACTATGACTGCATACAGACAAACAGATAAACAGCGGGACTATGACTGCGTACAGATAAACAGCAGGGCTACGACTGCGTACAGATAAACAGCGGGACTATGACTGTGTACGACTGCGTACAGATAAACAGCGGGACTACGACTGCGTACAGATAAACAGTGGGGCTACGACTGCGTACAGATAAAGAGATAAACAGTGGGGCTAAGACTGTGTACAGATAAACAGCGGGACTACGACTGCGTACGACTGCGTACAGATAAAGAGATAAACAGTGGGGCTAAGACTGTGTACAGATAAACAGCGGGACTATGACTGCATACAGACAAACAGATAAACAGCGGGACTATGACTGCGTACAGATAAACAGCAGGGCTACGACTGCGTACAGATAAACAGCGGGACTACGACTGTGTACGACTGCGTACAGATAAACAGCGGGACTATGACTGCATACAGACAAACAGATAAACAGCGGGACTATGACTGCGTACAGATAAACAGCAGGGCTACGACTGCGTACAGATAAACAGCGGGACTATGACTGCCTACAGATAAACAGCGGGACTATGACTGCGTACAGATAAACAGTGGGGCTACGACTGCGTACGACTGCGTACAGATAAACAGCGGGACTACGACTGCGTACAGATAAACAGCGGGACTACGACTGCGTACAGATAAACAGCGGGACTACGACTGCGTACAGATAAACAGCGGGACTACGACTGCGTACAGATAAACAGCGGGGCTACGACTGCGTACAGGTGACTCATAAAAAGTTTTGGTTGCTTCAATTTTCTACCATTTTTCTTCTTCCTGTTTCAGATCTGGACGATGACGTTGACCCTGAAACTGGCGAGAGAGCACAGGGATGACTCTGCCCAGCACTTTTCAATCACAGAAACCACACCCAACCCTCCTTAAACACCCTTAAATCCCAGCAGGACCTCCCAGTTTGAAAAGTGAAGCTAATGTGGAACATCCTAAACCATTCCGTAAATGTTTGTCCCTTTTAGAGAAAAATAGAAGATATATATGGCGCATTAAGCCCTTCCCCTTCCACGCCACAGAAAAAATATGTACGGCAGTCATTTTTTCAATTCAACGACTCTTGGTCCTTTCATCATCACATCATCTATGCTTGGAAGCTCTTTGACGTTAGCTTCAGTTGTGTTAGCGTCAGTGATCATGACAAACATCGTGTGTAATTCAAGGCACATTTCAAACAGGATCTAAACATTAGTTGCCGTTGACTAACGTACATTTTTACCAAACTAATGTCCCATGGTGGTCCACAGGAAGGGGCGGGGCTTAGACTCACTTCTGGTTCCACAAAACCAAGATGGCGTCTGCCCAAATACCAAACAAGAGGCTTCAAAACAGTCGTGCACAAACTAACCGGTGGCGTCAGCCGCTATGTCTGTGAAATGATCTTTGTCTCACAGAAACAAATAGATTTTTTTTGAGGATTAGATGAAAGTTTTATTTTGTAAACTGACAAATGAGTTTGCTGCAGAAGGAAACTTCTTGGATCAGCTGATGATCAGCTGTTATATTATTATTATTGAGCTTGTGTGGTGAGTTTTTATTATTTGCTTTAATTTTATATTTACTGTATTTTATTGTTTCATGTATCTTAAGTCTGTGTTTAGTCCTCAGGGACAATAAAGTTAAAGTTGAAGTAGTTGGTGTTTCGTGGTGTGTTGACAAGAACAGAAACGGTTTTGGTCTCAACTGGTCTGATTCAGGACAGCAGCCACACTTCGATAAAAAACTGTTTTATTAAAAAAAAAAAAGACTTCATTTTTACAAAAACTTTAAATATTTAGAAATGTTCATATTTACAGTTTTTTTGACGTTCAGTAAACGCATCTGTAAACTTTGATGAATCCTTCACAATAAAAGTCCTGGGAACAAACTTAATTTTTTCTGCTGCGGAACCTACGGCTCTTCTGATTGGTTAACATCAGTCTTCTTCCTCATTGGCTGCTACCGACTCGGTGGGCAGAGCCTCTTCATCAGAGCCAGTCTGTCGCGCTGCTGTCCGAAACAAACTCATCAAATCCCGAAACCTGCGAGAGACCTGGAGATACGAGGAAGAGTTACCGACTGTTCCACCAATCACAGCTCAACACAAGTTGCAACAGCCAATCACCTCATTGGGAGTCTTGTTGCCGAGCAGAGTAGAGATGGCCTGGAACGTGTTCTGATTGGCTCCCTCCTGCTGACACGTTGTCAAGATGACTCTGTCCGCTTCTCTGAAAACACACAACGGGTTCAATAGAGACTTTCCTCCTCCTGCTCCTCACAGAGGAGGAGAGAGGAGACCTGAGGAGGAGAAGAAGGAGAGGGGAAATGCAGCAGGAGGTGTACCTGGTCCAGAGGATGACCTTCTGTCCGCTTGCTGTCAGAGAAATGTTCTTGGCACAGACGGGAGGTCAGGAGGAGGACTGGGCCGAGGAGGAGCAGAGGAAGAGGAGAGGGCACAGACAGAGGGAGAGATGGAGGAGGTGATGGAAGAGAAGATGGTGGGAGAGGTAGAGGTGACAGGTTTGAAGGAGGAGGTGCAGACAGAGGGGGGAGGTGATAGGTTTGAAGGAGGAGGTGCAGACAGGGGGAGAGGAGGTAATAGGTGTGAAGGAGGAGGTGCAGACAGAGGGAGAGGAGGTGATAGGTGTGAAGGAGGAGGTGCAGACAGAGGGAGAGGAGGTAATGGAGGTTGATGTGATAAGAGAGGAGGAGGGTTTAGAGGAGGTGGGGGGGTTGCAGTGCCTCCTCTCTCCTGCTCCTCTTCACCACCGGGCTCTGTTCCTTCTCACTATTCTTCCTCTCTTCACCTTCATCCTCCTCCTCATCATCCAGCTCCTCCTCCTCCTCCTCTTTCTCATCCATCAGGGGGAACGAGCCTTCCCATGATGCAACGCTTCGATCTGTTGACAGAAAAAATATGTTTTATCAAATAATAAAACACCTGTTAATTAGAGCCCAGGACAGCTGATCCTGTTACACACCTGGTTGTGGACTGTCGTCGTCCCCCTTCAGGTCCAGGTCTTTGTCACCTGGGTTGTCGTGGGTGGAGCTTATCTGAGAGTACAGAGGGTCCAGACTCTTCATGGCTCTGGACACACCCCCTGAGGTCTGAGGGAAAGGACAGGTGTGTCAAGTGCCAGGTGATGGGTATGTCAGGTGTGTCAGGTATGTCAGGTGCGAGGTGATAGGTATGTCAGGTGTGTCAGGTGCGAGGTGATAGGTATGTCAGGTGATAGGTGTGTCAGGTGCGATGTGATAGGTATGTCAGGTATGTCAGGTGATAGGTATGTCAGGTGATAGGTGTGTCAGGTGCGATGTGATAGGTATGTCAGGTATGTCAGGTGATAGGTATGTCAGGTGATAGGTATGTCAGGTGATAGGTGTGTCAGGTGCGATGTGATAGGTATGTCAGGTGATAGGTATGTCAGGTGATAGGTATGTCAGGTGATAGGTGTGTCAGGTGCGATGTGATAGGTGTGTCAGGTGCGATGTGATAGGTATGTCAGGTGCGAGGTGATAGGTATGTCAGGTGTGTCAGGTGCGAGGTGATAGGTATGTCAGGTGCGATGTGATAGGTATGTCAGGTGCGAGGTGATAGGTGTGTCAGGTGTGTCAGGTGCGAGGTGATAGGTATGTCAGGTGCGATGTGATAGGTACAGTGGGTACGGAAAGTATTCGGACCCCTTTAAATTTTTCACTCTTTGTTTCATTGCAGCCATTTTCCAAAAATCAACCACAATCAATTTCTCAGTAATGTACACTCAGCACCCCATCCTGACAGAAAAAAACAGAAATGTAGAAATTTTTGCAAATTTATTAAAAAAGAAACACTGAAATATCACATGGTCATAAGTATTCAGACCCTTTGCCGTGACACTCATATTTAACTCAGGTGCTGTCTATTTCTTCTGATCATCCTTGAGATGGTTCTACACCTTCATTTGAGTCCAGCTGTGTTTGATTATACTGATTGGACTTGATTAGGAAAGCCACACACCTGTCTATATAAGACCTTACAGCTCACAGTGCATGTCAGAGCAAATGAGAATCATGAGGTCAAAGGAACTGCCTGAAGAGCTCAGAGACAGAATTGTGGCAAGGCACAGATCTGGCCAAGGTTACAAAAAAATTTCTGCTGCACTTAAGGTTCCTAAGAGCACAGTGGCCTCCATAATCCTCAAATGGAAGACGTTTGGG